GAAGCGAAATTTAAACACAGCCTGAATTTAAATTATTTCTCCATTTTCAAGCAGCTTTTTCATATATCCCTTATTTTTTTAGCCCCATATACTGATGCAATAGTGTTTTATGCTGTAGGATTTGGACTTATTTTAAAATTTTAGATTTATAATTTGGAATGTTATTGTATATAAAAAATAATTGATGGCACATATAAAAAATGTACCCGGAATAAATAACAATTAGATTATATTTATTTGAATGACAATGAGAAAGTAAAAGAATTTATTTAATAAATTATTTATGAATGATTGAAAAAAATTGATTTATTTATTATATACGGTATCGACAAAAATTAAAAGTATAGGCCGCACGCCGGTATCTATCAGTGTTTTTAAAAGTAACGCGTTATCGCTACCTTTAACGTTTTTAAAGAAGTAGCGCGCTATTAGCTGCCTTAAAAAATACTTAAGAATTTTTTTAATATTTTCTAAGTATCTATATCTAGGGCAACGATGAGAAAGTATAACTACGACTAAATAAAATCGTTCTACACTAGCACGCAATGCAGTATTATTAATATACATATCTTTTATTTAATTAAGTATTTTTAGATTTAAAAAAGTGCGGCTGAAGGATTTTCAATAGTATTATTATTTATTTCAAAAAAAAATTCATCCATAGTAAATGGCGTTTTTTATCTGGCTAGGGTCAGTCTAACATTATAATGGTATTAGTTGAATAAAAATGGTATAAGGGATAAGTGGGTGGCCATGTTTGTCAACTGGCCAGGCCAGCACCCTTTTTTATCTATTAAACCAATTTCTCTCAAAATTGGTTAAAATATGAAAGGATTAAAATAAGTATTTTTTTACCAGTTTTGATAAAATTTATAAATATATAAATAGATGAGTAATAAATAAACATGTTTAACATCCAGATAATAATTATAGATGAGCTGATGATAATTTATTGTAATTTTTAATTTATAATATAATTCTTGAATAATATCTTATATCCAGTTGAAACATACTATGTTTGGACTGGGACAGAAAATAAACATTCACATTGTAGTTCAAAATTTATAATAGATACAGCTTTGATTCAGATTTTATTTTAAAGATTAAGGATTGGGCTACACATTGATATCGTTGAAGCTACTAGTTTTGTTTGACGATAAAATTTTTCGCCACATCTTACAATGAAATTTATACCTGTTAATTTTTTTATCGAAGTTAAAATATTTTATGAATTCAGAAGAAATCCATATTATCATCATTTTCCAGGGAAATTACTTTGTCGATATGATCTGTACTAAAATTATCTACAATATCAATCTCTATCGTCGACATTTTAAGTTATTTTGAAAACTAGATTTATAATGCAGATTTTTAAATATAAATTTCAAAATAAAATGAAATAAAAAGACTACGATTTTAGAATTAATTATAAATATATTTTAATAATTTTTATTTGTACTTATTATGTAAAATTGAAAGGTTTCTAAATTAGTAGCGAGCTACCTCTATTTATTTTTTTTAAAGTAGCGCGCTACACACTGGTATCTATGTACCTTCGTTTATTATAGTAACTATTCGGTATTTTTATTGGGCCCATGAAAATGGCATCAGTTCTTACATAAAAAAAATTTCAAGAGCTATACAAATTTACCCCCATGGCCATTTTTATGGCGCTTCTTTTACTTATTTTATAAATATAATTAAAATATTTTTTTTTCCCTTTTTTAATAAAATCTGATAATATTTTTATTTCAATGATCATAAAATTAAAAATTTTGTATCAAAATTAATTTTTAAAAAAAATACATTTTAAAAAACATTAAATTTAATCTTTTTAATTTTATTTTTCGAAGAAATTTTAAAAAATATGATATTTATTAAGAATAATTAATTTATTGAAGCAGTTTTAAATTTTTTTTATATCTAAATTTAAATGTTCCATTTTTTCAAATGGTACAAAATTTTTAAATTTTATTTAGCTTGTTTTATATATTTCCGAAATATGCTTTTTTGTAGCCTATTGATATTTATTTTACATTTATATTGATCGAATATTAATGTGTAAGGAGTGTGGCGATTAAAGGTCTACAAAGCCCAGTCCGTTAAGAATTTTTCCCAAGTTACCTGATCCGTTAAGTTAGTTCTCAGGCCCATCCTGTTACTATTTAAAAAATTTCCCGTAAATTTACTAAAAGTTGGCCTCGGCCCGTTAAATTTTTTTGTACAAATTTACCGACCATTACATTTTTAATATACATCGTCACCGTAGTGGCCCAGTGGTGTATGATGTTTGCTTGTAAACCGAAGGCCCCAGTTTCAATCTTGGTAAGGAACTAAAAATTTTCGGGTTTTTCTGCGATGACAAATATGTATACACATATGATATGATAAATTTATGAGCTGAGAAAGGCAACCCTGGTCACCGACAGGCTTGGACAGCCGGGTGCTAGGATACGTCCAATAAACAAAATAAGACGGCCAGCTGAACTCGTGGGTCATTAAAGGATGAAAACGATCTCTTGGCCAACGCTAGGATAATGGTGACCTCGGGGGCCGTTCAAGCTCTCAATGTCTACCAAGCTACAATGGACTTGATAACTATACTCCGATGGGACATCCATCGGGACTCCGGTGGGAGATCAAGATTACAATGGAATTGATAAGAATACTCCGGTGGGATATCTGTCGATATTGATACTTCGCTGTGAGATCGATACTTTGGCCTCGATAGCGATACTCCGGTAGGAGATTCAAATGGAATTGATCAGAAATATAAAATTAGATAAAAATAGATAGCATGAGTAATAAAGTCGAGAGAGATATTGAAGGAGCTTATCATCAGAAAAGGTGAAAGCTAAAAAAAATCTAATTTTTTCCCAATGTCAATTAAGTCTTTTATATCTATCCTTTATATGGCTATCTATTTCTACAACAACTGTTTTATAAATCAATTGTGTTTGATATCTGTATTATGCACTTGTAATTGAATCATATTAATACGCTGTTTAATTTTTTGTGAATTTACTATATTATTTATAGATTTAGTATTTTAGTTAGGCACCTTTTCAAATACAAAAATAAGCACATTGTAATTTATTTTCAAATAGTATTAATCAAAATCAAAATATTAGCTTGAAATTCAAAAAAATATATCATAATTTTAATGCCAGGGCTGGTATGAAAAATTAGAGATTTGCGCAGCCCTGCCTGATATTTTATGTCTAAATTGTTCGGTCTGGCCTAAAAAATTTTTACACGAATTGCCCGGCTCGTTATAATGGTTAATATGCTAAGTTTAAAACTACATATCCATATAGAGTCTCCTTCAAGGGTCTGGCATCTGTAACTTGAAATAGATTATTCATTATAATTATCATTTTCTTCCACTATTTACATGAAATTTTATAAAATTATGCATATATAAATTGTTTAGCATCTTTTTTAAACAGTATAAATTAAAGGATCGAAGGAATATTCCATATTAAAAGAGTTACCTCTCGGGATTTAGGGGTGTTCTGGAATTTTTGGGGAAATAATATTATCGAGGCTCAATAGTGATTACCTTTTTATAAAACTCTTTAAATTCTAAAATAAAACTATTTAAATGTGACAATATTTTGTCATTTTCCCCATATCCTCCTATCATAACTCATACATAAAAATGCAGTCCTACATCTATCATATCTGTCTTGATTATATAAAAGTAATATAACATTGAATATCGCATCGCAAATTTATAATCTAGATATATGGGAATTCATTTATATAATTTATCAATTTATATTCGATGCGATTACATATAAAATATGATATCTATTTTTTCTGGCCACAATTGTGATATTCGATGAGGCCTGCATAATATTACACAGAGCAATATAGTGTTATTCGTCCAAATGTCAATTAAACCCTCTTTTTTGACCAGTGGTTCTAATTGGAAAAGTGCGTTTTATAAATAATAGCATATCAAGGCACATTTTGAATTTTATCTCACTTTTCTTTTCAACATCTTATCTACATGTTAAATATTAAAATTTTTGAAATTCAACTTATTAAATGAAATGTGATAAAAATATTGAAACTTTTCTTATATGAACCAAAAGCTAGATAGAACGGCCTCTTAGTATAAACCGGCTGCAATGTCCGTATAACTATTTTAATATCTGTCATAATATTAAAAACAATCTTCTATAATATATTTATCGTTTTCGAAGTGATAGTCTGGCTCCTCTTGGTTTATTATTTGATTGGAATGGATTATATTATGGAACATCTTTTGTCTTAGTAGTTTTTTTATTCTTTATCAGACAATCTTAATCTGCTTGAAATAAAATTAAATATATGTTATTAAATTTTAAAAATTTAGTGTTTAATAATTGAAATCAATTCGCCTGGTCTGTTTGGTTATCAAGATTTTGAAAATGATTTTAAACTTACCTTAAAATTTAAAACAACTAAATTGTATTTAATAATGAAATGCGAATCTTTTCTATTTGGTTTGAAAGGGTTCATATCCTTACCAAGAAAATCAATTTCCACTCCTACAATTTTGGGAATATATTTTTGGTTTACATAATATTTTTTAAAAAATATGGTCCCTTTTTGAGGTAATTACCAGAATATAGAACTGAGGACAGCTTCATGCCTGGCTCACTACATTTTTTATTTGGAGGATATTACTAATTCTTCTTAAATTTTTACTAATTAAATTTATATAAAATACATTATCACCCTTATATTTAACAAAATACAAATCATATATAACTTTTTTAAACACATAGTGTTCTACACATACAAATAATGTCCTTTTTTAGAAGCATAATGACTTTTTTCAAATACATAATGTCCTTTCTCTATGTCATTAGGTTGTAAACTTTGTTTAAATAAAATATTACTGATTTAGATAAAAATAATATACATATTATGAGCGGGCTGTTTCAGTATCAGTACTTAAATAATAATATATCTATTTTATTCTTCAACAAAAATTTAATGCCCAACAGTTTGTTCCTTCGTAGTTCACAAGAGATGCCACGAATTCGTTACTTTTAAGTGTCCTGGTGCGGACAAAGGGCCCGACCATGAGGTACATAAATATATTTAAATACTTAATTATTGAATTTTTTTTAAGTGACCCTGCCAAAGGTAAACTTAAATCACAAAAACAATAATTATACAAGAGTCCTAACATTAATTTAATTATAAATGATAATTTAATATGCCATAAAATGTGAATACATTGCTTGCTTATCTTGTTTTTATATTAATTTTAGAAAGTAAAATATTGGGACAAATCATACAATCAATAAAGTAAAATAAAAAACAATTTTCTAGATATTCAATTTAAATTTAAAATGAGCAATTATGTTCCTTGAAATAAATATTGTCCGATTTGTTGAATAAAATAAAACATTTAAAAAAATATATAAATTAATTTTTTAATTTTTTGCTAGTAAATTATGTTTATATGGATGGAGTAGAGTAAAAAAAAATAAATGGGGAAAAAATTATATTATTTTGTTAATATTAACTATTAAGTGTAAGCCTATATCTCTATATGCTCTCCAAACCCTGAACCCTTTTTTAAATTTTTATATCTGACCGGACCTTTTTTGCTAATTTTTATTTTGGTAGTAGGGGACCCTTTCATTATTTCTTGAAATTCTTTTGTTATACTTCTTTTGGCAGTGGTGAAAAAAAACTTCCAACTTCGCACTGAAAATAAATATACTGACTCGTTGCAGATTTACACCATTGTGTTCACAATTTCAGACATCAGGTAGGTATCCCCGAAAATATAAAGAAATATGCGAAAGTTTTACTAAAAGTTTCCCTCTTACTCCTTCATTTTCCATTCCCTCATCTAATCAAAGAAACTATATGCTATTCAAATTAGGAGACCTAATGGTGGAGTCATTGCTCTCAGTCAATTTATTGAAATTATTCTTGGTCAATCCACTAAAAGCCTTAAAATTTTACACCTTCTAAGTAGATTTAGTTTAAAGTACCTATTAAATTAATATCTAAATTAATTTTAAATAGAACACCAATTCATTTAATCAGAGTAAGGAGCAGCGCTACAGTAGTGCGGTTACACTTTTGGAGTGAAGGAGCGCCGCTCCACCGCTCTTTTAAATTTAATGTATAAATTATATTATTTTTTAAATTTATGCAATATTAAATGTTAGTTTCATATTGGTTTTTCATCTAATAAGTTAACATATTAAAAATAAGTTTTTCTTTCTTTATATATTGAAAATTTCTTGGAAAATCTTGTAAGTCATATTAATATTCATTTTATAGATATATGATAAAAATAGTTTTTGATATTATGGATCTAGACATTATAGAAGAAATCGAAATAAAAAATAAATTATCTTTTTAAATAATTTTATTGCCGATTTTCAAATGTTTAAAATGATGAAAATATCATTGCGGCTATTATCTATTTTGCGGGATAAAAAATGCACAAAACATGGTACTAAATACAAATTAATTATTTTTTAAGAAAACAAATTCTTGATGCAAAAATAGCTACTAGTCCAGACCCGTGTAATGATTTGGAAGATTTTTTTGTTCCATGAAATTGATTAATATATTGGACAAATATTTTTTAAATAATGATATCAAAAAATTACTATTTTTGATAAATTTCCTGAATTAAAAAATATTTTTTATAAAATACAATACCCCGCTTCCCTCTAGTGCTCCTGTTGAGCGCCTGTTTAATATTACTAAATAGGTTTTAGGAGAAAGGCATGGATGTTTGTTAGATTCAAATTTAAAAAATTTATTACTTTTTAAGAAGATTATAATAGGATATATCATTTATTATAAATAAAACTTTTTTGAATATGATTTTGTTTCGTGTACTTTCTAAAAAAAAATAAAAATCAAAGCGGCTATGGAGTGACACTCCATTACTTGGAGCGGGAGCTCCCTTTTAAAATTTAGTGGGAGTGGAAGCTAGCTTTTTTTGAGGAGGTAGGAGCAAGAGCTAGCTACTTTTAAAAAGGACCGTTAACAACTCTGTATTTAATTCTTTATTATGTTATCATAGGATGTCAGGACGAAACACAAATTCAAAAATCATACGTATAGTTCTCCCACGTTTTGCGACCATTGCGGTTCACTGCTCTATGGTATCATACACCAAGGCATGAAATGCGAAAGTAAATTGGAACAATACAATACAACACATAGAGTCCTATACGGACGGTCCGACCCGACCAAACTCGAGTCAGTCTGACTCGGTCAGACGTTTTCTCAGACTCAGTCGGATTCGAACCGCAATTAAAAATTTATTTCAGACCTGAACACCCGATGCAGGGAACTATCTTATATTATTACTTTAGACTACATGCTACGTCATATACCGTTTGCAACAAACCGAACCGGAATGAACTATTATAATTATTTGAATCGGAATTGAACAAACCAAAATTGTTAAACAATTTCTAAAAATGTTTTATGTAAATTTAAAATTTTTTTAAAATAATTCAGCTTTTTTTGGAAATACTAATTTTGTAAAATCTTAATTTTTTTAGCCAATCAAATTAGGAGATTAATAAGCTTATCAATTTTATACCCTTTTAAAATTGTTTTTAGTTTTTAAATAACCTATTTTCGTTTTCCCTATATATATTAATTTATTCGCTATCGCTAAAATAAATCCAAAATTAGCTTTAACTATAAAATTCATTATGAATGAAATAAAACTGACCGTAACGATCCATTTTGATTATTAAGAAAAATTTAACCAGTCATAACATAACTATAATAACTAACGGCTCGAATCTTTGGGTTTAAATTGTAATGCATATTATTATTTTATCATCATTATCACCAATCAATATCTGGTATTAATTAAAAGACTAAAACACTGGAAAACCTAAGCAGGGTTATGTTGTCATTTATCAATATTTTAGAAACCATTAAAAAAATAAAACTTAAAATATGTAAATAAAGAGTTTTAATAATCAAACTATCATTTTTTTAGAAAACGGTATCACTTATATCTTTATATTTTATCGAAAACAAAATTATATCTTTTTTTTGCCAATAAATAAAAACTATCATGATTATTGGATGATGAAAAAATAAGTTTTTGTAAACTCATCCAATCGTATCTAAATAGGATATTTGAAATTAGAAAGAACAAGGATAATTTTTTAATGTAAAAATGAGAATAGGGGAAAAATACTCCTCCTAAACTGAATTGACGAATTCGACACAAGGAATTCTCCATAACCCATACTTTTATATAGTAGAGTGAGATAGCAATTAAAGCTAACAAAAAATCAGATGAAATCGATAAATTACGAAGGATCTCAGGTATATCTTGCTCAACAAAGACAATTTCAAACAGTTTCTTAAATTTTACAATATCATTCATTAATGAGATAATTCGATATTTTTTTTTAAAAAAATCATCAAGTTAGAAAGTGCGGTCATGAGGATAAGAGACTTTCAGAAAAGTTCTATGAATAAGGGAATGTTTTTAGTTTAAAAAATACCTGTTGTGAATCTTGATTAAGGAACATCAGGATTATATTTCTCCGTTTGATTTCATTAATAAATAATTTATTAGATAGGAAATAAAAGGAATAAAGATAAGACCAATAGCTTCAACAGGAATTACTATTTAATAGTGAAGGTTACGAAAGCTTGGAGATCCAAGTGTTGTTAAAATTAAAGTAATTGAGATCGAGGCTCTTCTTTCGATTATGGCCTTAACTCTTAATCTGCTAGACATAGATAAAAATATGCTCGGTCTTCTGATTCGCGGGAGGGGGCTATGATTAAAGATCGTCATTAAAATTGGAGGAGTGTGGATAGATATGAACGTTATATTCATTTGAATAAAATTGGGCAGAAGGGGGGGGGGGGTAGTTTTGATTTACTTATTTTTGCTTATTTTGATTTATTTAGTGGGAGGAGGTAAATTTTAGCGGGGGCAATATCTTTATTGGCTTAGGGGGGTGTAAAAGTTCCTTAATTAGAGAATGTTTCTAAAAATCTTTTTTCATACCTGATTTACTAATACAGAAGGGTTGATTGAATTCTGTAAATAAAAAATGATAGCAGTTTTTGGTATAATTTCTTAACAATTTTTTAGTTATTATAATATATTTGATAAGAATTGACCAAATATTGCATATTTTAGAATCTAATATATATAATCTCCGTAATCAAGAAATGAACGTTTTCATATAATCTTAATGTTATTTTTATTTTTTCTATCAACTATCAACTTAATGTTAATTTTATTTTTTCTATCAACTTTCCTATCATCTTAATGTTAATTTTATTTTTCTATCAACTTTCCTATCATCTTAATGTTAATAAATCGAAAGAGACTATATACCTCTAAAGTTCATCTACGAGATTCGATCCCCAAACTTAACGTTCCATAGGCAAACGTTTTTTCCAACTCAGCCCCATTCTATCTTAAAATTTTTAATACAATTCTTCCTATATATGAAACTATATTTTGATAAAGTAATTTTATTATATCAATATTTATTTTTTTTATTGGAGGCTCCAGACTTGGAAAAAAAATTCAAAATTATTATCGGTTGGCCAGGTTTGAGAAAAATTTTTTAAAATTATAATGGGTCGGGCTAGGCTTGGAGAAAATTTTTCAAATTATTATCAGCTTGGACGCTTGATTTTTTATTACTAACTATGATTAGTCATTGACCTAAAACAAATTTTTTTGCAGGCCTGGGCTCGGCTCGGCCTGATCAAAAAACCAAGGCTCATATTTTCCAGTTCTCAACTACATAATTATTATGATCTTTGGTTGGGGGACCTTTCTTGGGAATTTTTTCAATATTAAAAATTAGGCATAGGTGATCAGTAATATTTTAATAAATAATATTGATATGGGTATCAAGTAAAAGCTTTAAATATATATTTACTCAAAAGCATTTACACTTAGTTTAATGGTTTGGACCTGGCCTGAAGGAGAAGAGCGGGTTATAAAGAATAAAAATTGGATATTATTTTCAAATGACAGGTAACAACTATTATAATTGTATGAAGAAGATTATCATTCCCCGTCATTTTTGACGGGCTCAGCAATGCTGACTAACGGGAGCTCTGGTACTCTTAGTTATATATTTTTCATATTGCAGAAAGACGGGTCATCATACTTTAAATTAAGAATATCTTATGATGTGTGGTTCACAAATTTACCCCTTTTTCTCCCCTAAATTTTTATATTTTAATAAAGTATATTTAGTACCATATACACAAACTAATTACCCCTCAACCCCGTTATTCTTGACGGGTTATAGCTAGCATTATATATATATTTATATAGGTTTCTATAATGAATTTAAAATGCACAAATAGGGCCCAGTCGATATTCTTTGATAAGAAAAGTTAAATTATCTAATATTCATTACCATAGAACGACCAAAGAATAAACATTGTTTTATTTAGTGTAAGATTTTTCTGTGAAAGTAACAGTTATTATTATAATATTATATATTAAGTATTTTAAAAAAATTATGACAATTTTTCATTTAAAATCAAGACGATATTTATAAATAATTTATGGAGACAAAAAAACAGTTTAATTTTTAATAATACAATATTGTTAAAATGGTAATCCAAATAATGTCACGGCATAGGTGATTTTAATTATTTCTCACGTGAAATATAATTTCTTAAGAGCACGACACCATATAGGATAAGTTGATTCTTAGACTGCGCTTAGATGGTCCAAATGCCCCTAAATGCTCCGATATAAATAAATTGACTTTTTCGAAACCATTTCAAAGTAGTCAATTTAGTAGTTTGATAATTTTACAACATTTAATCTTAATTAGTGACTAATATAATTTAGCACTATTGTTTCGTAAATATTTTTAAAAAGAATAGCATTCTTCATGAAGCATTTACTTTTAACTTTTACACTTCATAAATGTGTCAAAAATTATATCGAATCCAATTTTGCGACACTATATTATTTTTTAATGATAAAAACAGTTTGAAACTTATAAAGGTTTAAGCGACCATTTTTTGCTTAAAAATTGGCATTTTAATAACATAGTAGTATGAGAATTTTATTCGTTCTTTTACGATAGATGTTACCTTTTATTTAAAAAAAATGACGGGGAATGAGAATTTTATTCGTTCGTTTACTATAGATGTTACCTTTTATTTAAAAATCATATCCAATTTTTATTCTTTTTACCCCCCCCCCCTCCCCATCATGTTTAGTCCAATTCATTAAGACTAAAAATGAACACTATTTTTTTGAGTCAAAATATATTTAAATTGGCCTTTACCTCATATCAAATTCTTTGTTAAAATCAGGGATGTGAACCCGGACCCTGAACCCTCATTTTGGCTGTACCCGAACCCGGACCCTTTTTAAAAGTGGAGAGTCCAAGGGTTCTAGGTATAAAAAAAAAATTTTAAAAATAAAAATATATATTTTATAAATAATATAAAAAATTTTTTTTAACAAATAATTTAAAAAATTTTAAATTTTATTAACTTTTTTTCTTGGAATCATTTATTTTATTTACACCTTTCGATTTTCTTCCTGGGCTTCCATTTTATCTAGAGATTGATATCATAAATTATTTTCTAGTGTAGGTAATAATATTTACTCTACAATTTTCTAGTAATGATTGCCTAAAAAATAATCACTTTGAAACTATAATTAATAAAGCAAGGGATGTTGCAAAATATTTAATCCCACAATTGCAAGAATATTAAAATCAATGAAAAGGTCAATGACAATATTAGATTGCACAACACGTTGATCCTCAAATTGTATGATGCTAGATCGATTATTAAGTTTGAAAGATTTCTGTAATGATTTTATTATAGGAGCATGCTAAGTCATTTTGTCAGAAGAAGATTGGTGCCAAAATAACAACATTAAGATTAAAATCAGAACAATTATGTTAATTTGATTTTTATGGCATATGGATTAGATGCCGATTAGATTTAGAAAGATTTATTAGTCCTTTTTCATAACGAAATATTAGAAAACATGAAAATTTGAGAGTAACAATATTTGCAAAATAGTGTTTTATAAGCTTCTATATATTTAGACCCTCGATATCAAGTTTTATTGAGTACTGAGCAAAAATAAATGGCTAAAGACCATCTTAAGGATTTATGGCATACACAAAACTCCATTATTTACAATATATTAGAGGCTACGACAATACCTACTGGTTTTAGTGATAATAATGATAATGATAACAAGATAGATAATCTTGAAATTTTACTTTTTGATAGAGAAAAAAAAATCATATTATCATCAGAGAGAAAGGGGGATCAAAAAATGCCTATTGCATCTTTAATAAAAAGTTCCCAGAAAATAAGAGAATGAATAAGGATACAAATATCTTAAAATTCTGGGAAGAAAATTCTTCAATATATCTAGAATTATATATTTTGTCTAGAATCGTCATGGCTGTACAGGCGACACAAGTCAAATAATTTATGTAATATAAAGATAACTATCTATTTTAGGTAAGCGTAGAACGTGGATCTTCATCTTTAAAATATATATTGTCTAATTTACGTGGAAATCTCAAGGATGATATTTTAGAAGATATTATGATTGTGCGATTGAATAAAACATTTAAAATTTAAATTATTTCATTTTTAAATTTTTAATTTGTAAATTATGAATGTGTATATATAGTAGTATAATAATAAATGAATGAAAAAATCTTTTTCAAGTCATTCTATTTATATTACCTGAACCCGGACACTTTTTTAATTTTATTACTGTACCAGAACCAGGACCTGGACCCTTTTTTTTGTCGAAGGGTTCACATCTCAGGTTAAAATATTACTAATTATCTATGGTTAATATTTAATATTAAAAAATCCAAAACCAGGTCCAAGGCCACAATAGTTTTGAAAAATTTTTCACAAGCCCTGTCAAAGATCATAATAATTTTGATAGTTCAGAACTAAAATAAAATTTTAAAAAAATCATAATGCATTTAAAAATGCTATCAGAATCAGCATGGTCCTTGGTTTTTTGATCAGGCCCTGCCTGCCCAGGCTTGCAAAAAAATATTTTAGGCCAATGTCTGGCCCATATTATATATAAAATTTCCAAGCATCCAAAACCTTAATAATTTTTAAAAAAATTTTTCAAGCCTAGCCCACCTCATAATAATTTTGAAAATTTTTTCTCAACCCTGGTCCAACCTATAATAATTTTACAAAATTTTTCCCAAGCCTGGCCCATTATAATTTGTAAAAGATTTTCCCAAGCCAGGTCAAAGCCCATATCAATTTTGAGGAATATTATCCAACCCAGCCCAACCCATAATTTTCCCAAGCCCGGAGATAGTTAAATTTCTAATTAATTTATCATCAAATGAAGGGGAAATCTCCTATTTATCAGTCCCGTTACGGGTTAACTCCTAGTATACATACAAAAAGCACATGAATTCGTAATGGGAAAGCCCGGGTAAACCACTTATTGGAGAATCATGACAAAATCAGGTCTGTCCTAATATTTTTACAAAAAATAAATCTTACCTCGTTTTATTGGAGATAACCCCAAAAATTATATTATGGAGAAAAATATGGATTGAAATTGCGTCCACTGCAATAATTCTAACAAAATATTTTTTATAATACTGAATGATTAATTTTTGCATCATTATTTGTTATCCATTAAATAAAAAATGATTCTTATACTTTTTTTACTATGATCAATTTAAATTATATCTAGAAAATAAATTCTTGCTTATTATATTGGTTTATTGTTGTTTTTTCAGATAAATTTAGTGTATGTTTTGCCTTTCCGAAATTATTTATCATAGAATTTGATAAGGGCTATATCTTTATGTTAAGTAATAAAAAATGCTATCTATCTAAATTACAAAAATCCCATTCAATATTAATGAAACTTATTTGCAATTTATTTATATATTTTTTAAGAATTTTCTTTTCAATCCATATAAATTTAAGCTAATTTTTTAAAAAAAATGATAAGGGTTAATTATTATTTTGTGTGTCTGTTAAAATTTAGAGCATATCCTTTTTGACATTTTAATTTTTTGATGGTGAGAAAAAAAGGAAAGGAAACGGGATAATGGAAAGTGAAATAAAAAATAGAGAAAAAGGGAAAATGAAAGAAAAAATAGATAAAAAAGGAAAAGTGAAAGAAAAAGGGTAAGGAAAAGAAAAAGGGTAAGGAAAAGAAAAAGGGTAAGGAAAAGAAAAAGGGTAAGGAAAAGAAAAAGGGAAAGGAGGAAAAAAAATGTAGAGGGAAAGAAAAAGATAAAGGAAAACATGAAAGGGAAAGGAAAATGAGAATGGAAAGAAAAGAAAATAAGAAAAGAAAGAAAATCTGGAAAGGAGCAGGGAGAGAAAAAGGAAAAAAAAGGGGAAAACAAAAGGTTAAGGAGAAGAAAATGGTAAAATATAAAATGAAAAAGAAAGGAAATAAAAAGAGGGGGGGGGGTGAGAAGGGAAAAAAGGGAATTAGGTGAATAAAAAGGAAGGATAATGGAAAGTGAAATAAAAAATAGAGAGAAAGTGAAAGAAAAAATAGATAAAAAAGGAAAAGTGAAAGTGAAAGAAAAAGGGGGAAGGAAAAGAAAGAGCATGGAAAAGAAAAGGGAAAGGAGGAAAAAAAAGAAAGGAAATGTAAAGGAGAGGAAAAATAATGTGAGGAGCAGGAAGAGGAAAAGGTAGGGAGAAAGAAAATGGGAAAGGAGAAAGGAAAGAATCTGGAAAGGAGCAGGGAGAGGAATAGGAAAGCAAAAGGTTAAGGAAAAGAAAAAAGGAAATGGGGTGAGAAAAAAAGGAGAGGAAACGGATAATGGCCAAATCTCGAAGCTTGTATAACATTATTTTGTTTATAATCTTAATAAGGTCATTTTCTAAATCTAGCCAAATCCGCATCTTAATAACCCTATAAAAATTGAAGGTAAAGAAAAAGGGAAAAGAAATAAGGAAGCAAAAGGAAAGATTAAATAGAACTTATTATTATTTTTATTAAAATAAAACCTGTAGAGGAGTCAATAAGTGCTTTTGCATAGTAATAGAGGTGCTAATATTAATAACCTTTAGAGAGCATACCCATTTTCTGGTATAACTATCATGTGAGAACAAGATCTATATGGATGATATATGTTCATGTAAATTTTAATATATTATCAATAAAATATAAATAATAATAACATAAATAAATGCTTAATTCATTATTTATTTCATATAAAATATTCTTTATTATTATAGTATACATATCTTCAATTATTAATTAAAAAATAAATATTATTCTTGTATTTACCTTATTTTATCATCTATACATATATTTTTATTTTAACTATATTTAAAAGAGGGGCTGAGTTTCAAATAATCATAAGTAATAATGCGTAACAGGTTAAATATATTAATTTTAATAAAAAATAACTGGCATTATTTTTAAAATAATTGACAAAAATATGTGCAGTTTCCTTTTATTTTAGATTTTTTTTCCATGATATATAATGTTTTTAAATAAATCTAAAATAGAGATAATTATTTTCTATAATATTTAAGAAAAATCATATACCTTTTTATCGAAATCGCATATTTTTTATCAATGAATGGCAATATATCCTTCAAATACCAATATATAGGCTTTATTTTTATTTGAATATACATAACGCGTTGATTATAAATGAGGCTTGATAAAAAAAGTTCATTTACAGAAAAAATAAATAGGTACCGATAACATGATGTCACGAATGACGTAGAGGACATCGGAAAATTATAATATAGATAGATAAAAATAAATTACGCGTCATTTTTAACCTTTTTTTTCTTGACGAATTTAGTTAATTTAACAATTTATAAGAATAAAAATTATAAGTAATATTTTCTTAATTTAAAAGAAAATCTCATAAGTCATCATACCAATAAAACGGTTAAAACGAATATTCTAAAATAATTTTAAAAAACCTAATATAAATTAATACTTATATGTAAGTTATTATAAAACTTGTAATTTAATACACTTTATATTTTTATAAAAGTAATCTTCTTATTCGTAAAATTAAAATCGATTTTTAACCTAGTAATTCAAAAATATGACAGTCGAACATCTACTTTGGAATTCTATATATAATTTGTATTTTGATATTCAAGCAAAGTTGAAAAAAAATCTGTACCTCCTAGCCCGGCAGTGACCATAATATAAGCAGACTGGGTCATTTTACCCTATATTTTACAGTTTTCGGAATTAACTTTTGAATGATTTGAAATTCACATTCATATTCGTCATTTTTAAGTTAATCGGCATTTGAGTTATAATTACATTCAGATCTACCTAATAACCTTTATATAATTAACGATCTTTTATAAAACTTTATGAATTAATCAAAGGCAAAATTTTTATTAAAAAAACTGATTTTGATTAACATGAAAGTTTTCTAAATAACAGTTTGCACACTTAAACAATTTTTAACACCCCTGAAATCATTAAACTTGTATTATGTTATGTATAATAGATTTAAAAAAAAATTGTTTTTTCTTTATTTCAAAATTATCAAAATATAAATATCGATCTTGCTTCATGCCCCCCCCCCGTAGAAGTCCCTGACTAGGTGTAAAGAAAACCGTCCGAGACGGCATTTAGGATTAGCATCCCGATATAGCGTTTTTTTGACCATCCCATCTTAAAAATAAAATAAAAGAAGAAACGAATTTTTGGCCAACATTAACTAGATTAGGGTCTGCAATAGGCAGGTTTTAGCCAACAATCTTGCCCACTCGTTTTAAATTTTTTAACCCCCTCGTTCACCGTTTTTTAAAATTCACCCACCCTTCCGCCCATTTATAATTTTGTTTAACCAGCCCACCACCTACTCAATGTTTAAAATATTTGATGGGTGGGCTAAAACCCCGCCTATTGCAGACCTCTATAGTTTCAAAATATCTTAATATTATCTCTCTTTCCTCTTTCATTTTATATTCATATATAAAACAGCTTGCGATATGAACGTTCACAAGAGATGCGTGAGTAGCGTGCCCAACTTGTGTGGATGTGATCATACAGAAACTAGGGGGAGACTTCATATCTGCATAAGCCTGGTCAGATCCCTCGAATCCAGGGGCGGTAAAACACCAGCCGAAATGGCCAATTCAAATAAGCTGAATCCGAGTATGTCTAGAGGCAAGAATAGCATGATCGACGAGGAGGCTAGCGATATTATGACGATCACAGGTTTGAAAATAGAAAAGTAAATGAACGAGGAAAAAAAATTAATATAACGAAGGAAGATAGAAAAATAAATAAAAGGATTAAAATATAAAGAAGAAATGAATGAAAAAAGTAAGCATAGAAAAAGAAAACAGTATAAATTAACATTCGTAAGCACAGACAGGATTTGTGAGCACCGCTAACCTCCCAATCCCCACCCAGAATGTGATTACCTGATATTCTTTAGGTATCTTGATTTAGATTTTTCAATAGCTTAATAATTTTATGTATAATATATGTGTGCAAAAATTTATTTTTGGTTTGACTCAGTAGTTTATGAGTTATAATTACTCTCTGGCGTTTGGAGTGCCCATAGACCTCACCTTATCATTCCTGTGATTTTTTTTTGTTTTAGCATTGGTATTTAAAATCATGTGTCATTTTTACGAATTTCATTTGACTTTTGGAAACATTATCATAAAAAATATATAGTTTATTTAATATATGCTTTAAAATGTAAAAGCTATAAATTAATTTGTTAGATATATTTAATTTGGGGGTCACATGAATTTATCAATTCTACCTTATTTTTCACTTTATATTTTTCCACCAGGGCTATGGGAGGGTTGAGAAAGAAAGAATGGAAATTTAATATGAAATTGATAATCCACATCGAATCTGATTTATTTATAAAGTCAAAGAAGCCCGCAACCTGATTCCAATGGACCCTAACGGCCTGTCCGATCCTTACGTCAAAATCAAACTTATCCCCGCCGATAGGGAAAGGGATTCTCACAAACGCAAAACCAAAACTCTCAAGGCCACTCTCAACCCTATCTGGAACGAATCCTTCACCATGTATATAAAAAAAATTTATAAGCCTTAATTTAACATTTCTCCCACAAATTTTTCCTAGAAAACGTAAGAAATTTAGAAAATTTATGTTATTTTTAAATAAGGGATTAATCGATCGTATAATTTTAAAATTGAATTTACTCTGAAGTTGTTCTTATGTTGATTATTTTGCATCGCGACGTTGACCATTTTTTTTATTAACCATTTAAATCTACTACCAAATTGTTTTATTAAATAATCGATAAGAAAATTTATTGTACTTGGTTTTTTAAAATTTCTGATCATTTTTAGATTCGATTATTTTAAAGTTTTTATATTGATTCTTTAGTTCAAATATACATTTTTTTAAATTTGATTTTATTATTAAAATCAGAGTTTGAAAAAATTTTCAAATGGGCAAAAAATATATAAGGATTATTTTTAAAAAATATTTGTTATTTCAGTGATGAAAGATTTTTTATGCATGAAAATTACAAAATATTTACTTTAAGTCTTTGGCATTTTTAGTAATTAAAATTTGATCAAAAATTTTTCTTCCTTAGGCTCTGTCCAAGACATACATTAATTTTTTTTTAAAGTTTCAAGATTTCGAAAATCTTTGAAATATTCAAAATTTTGATATGGATGAATTATTAATTCTATATTTTTGAAATATTTTTCTGAACGTAATCTAATAAGATTAGTATTTTTTCCCATTTAATATAAACACTAACCCTTATCTTTGTTGCATATAGCCCTAAGGTAACCCGGTCCACGAGTTTGGCATCAGGCATTAATCGAAACTGCGTAGTTCAGTTTAATAAAAAGAGAATATAAGATGTTAAAAGAAACCCAAACAAATGCCGAGAAAAAGTGGGGCGATGGTCCTAAAAATGATGAGCGAAATTTTTTTGGCTTGAGCCCAACATCAAATTATAAAGGCTTCTGACATTGCTGATTAAAATCACATTTAATGAAGATTCTAAATATATAAATGATTGCACATCAATTTTTTGCAATTATATACTTATGCAACTTATAAAAACTTTTCTCTTTTTGCATAATTAAGAGAATGCTCTAATTAGGGATCAATAAATGAGATATTATTCCTGACTATTATTTTAGCCCCATCAAGGAAGTCGATAAAGACCGGAGGCTTTCCTTCGAAATATGGGATTGGGATAGAACCTCAAAAAACGATTTTATGGGTGCCGTCTCCTTCGGCATCTCCGAACTACTCAATCGATCCCTCCACGGATTTTCCCAGAGCTACGGCGGCGAAAATAACGACGGAACTACTAACAATACTAATATTAATAACGAAGGTTTGCCTGAGGAATTTCATCATGACCGAAATTTCGGGAGTTTTATGACAAGGATACACAAAGGTTTTTTATTTTAAAATAATAACATCATAAGTTACAATTGTTTCAATGTTCTCGACCTATCACCTTTCTATGTAAGAGAAACACATTAATTTACGATTTCTGGCTAGAGTCACATGTTTTCAGCCCGGTTCGAATAAATATCAGATTTTTTATCCGCCTACCTATTAAAATAAATATCAAGCCCGATAAGGACTCTAATTATTGTCATTAAGAAATTATCATCGTTAAACTCAATTTATAAATCTTATCATTTTTCTTTATTTTTTTAAAAAATGAGTTTTTTTATAGTAAAAACAAATAGATCAAGAAAGAATAAATGAAGAAAAATAGGAAAGAATTAAAAAGAAAATTTTATGTATTCTTGCAAAATTAATAAAGGCGGGGGCGAAGCCGTCATGGGGGTCATCGTGGACGGTTGGTTCAAGCTTTTGAGCCAAGAAGAGGGCGCTTTTTACAACGTTCCAGCTTATGATGACGTGTCTTCGGAGTTCGCTAAATTCAGATCTACCAAAATGAAAGTTTGTCAATTTATTTATTAGGTTCACATGCAGTTCGCCATTTTATTTTGTTCTTTATATTTAATAAACTTATGAACTTGATTGTAAACTCCCATCAACTTTTATTTCGTTAAATAAGTATTATTTTTTATTAATGAAAATTTTTTGAATTCCTAGTAGAATAGGGGAGGCTGGGGGTATGTTAAGTCCTAGGTGATTGCTAGTGTTTTTTTTTATAAAGTAAAGCTCTTAAAGGACCATTTTTTTTAACCAAAAATATATAATTATATGTATATGCGATTATAATTTTAATTATAAGTTTTAATTTTTCAAAAATAAAAATTAATAAATTTTTCTATTTTTACCATCCAAAAATTATCTTATATAATAGAAAAACCTTTTTTAAAGTATAGAATTCTCCAGAATAAAATAGCTATTATAAACATTTTAAAATGTGATTTTTATTTTTGAGGTTGAAACGAGTCATTTTTACCAATGTTGAAATCTATAATATGACCATTTACATACTATTTTTAAATAATTAAATTATAAATAATATTTAATTTCTAAATGCAAAATGATTAAATAATTGGTTCCTGCAACTAAAGGGCTTCAACAGACGATTTAACCCTCCTAGTCTATGGGCGGGCAAGTTAAGTTAAAAAATTCAAGCATGGCCCGGGTGAGCGGGCAGGGTAAGAAAATTTTTTATAACAATGGGTGGATGAATTTGAAATAATTTTCAGGCGAAAGAGTGTACTTATATTTATTAAAAATTATATTTTTATTTCATAATATTTTATAAGTTTATAAGTAAAAATACATTAAAATAAGTAATGAGCCAAACCACAATTATTTTTGAACATTGGGCAGGCATAAACAAATTTTTTAAATAAATGGGCTTGCGTATGAGTTAAAAACTCGACTATTGCAAATCTTTACTTGCAAGAGTCCCATACCCTATGTTTCTTAAAAAATTTAATTTAAAAAAAAACTGATTTCTTTTTGAAATTAAATATATTATAAAATTAATTGTGGCAATTAAAAATTGTAAAATACTTTTATTTTTATTATGGTTCGTCTTGACCCCATTCTCCTCTGTTTTATATGTTTAAAATTCAGTTGCTTAGCCTTGGTATCCGCTTCTTAACCTATTAGTAAACTCGTTCAGTTAAGTCTTTATCTTATTTACAGAGGTTTATAAATTTCTTATATTAATATGTAATAATCTACATGACAATTTATATATTTTACTTTTTGTACAATTAGCAAATAAGTTCCCGTTACCAAAAACATTCGGCAACCCCGTATTCTGTATTAAGGAATTTCAGATTAATTTATTTTAAAAATAATATTTGATTTTTTTTCTAAAACCTTTAAATAATTAAATATTTATGATAATTCTATGAATTTGCTTAATGTTTTCAGTTATTATAAGTATTTTATAAATTGTCGTCACATGTTTTAAAGTTTTCTGTCCATTGTTTAAATTACCACAATAGTTTGTCCGTGTAATATATATTTTTTTAAACTTATAAATTATTGTCCGCGTTTATAACATATTTTTACTTAATGTTCCAAGAAAAAAACCCAAATTTTATATTCATTATATAATTGGTTATGAGAAGAGAAATTCAAGGAAAACAGAGATTTTGTTATGATTCTCTTCGCGGTTAGGGATATATTCTATGAAAGAAGACGTATTTAAAGTAGAGATCTGCAAAAGTAGGCTCGACCCAAACGGGCTTCGGGCCGGGCTCGGGTCTAATTTTTTTTTAAAAAATCAAGTTCGGGCCAGGTCGAGCCTTATTTTTTGAAAAAATTTGGGCCGGGTCAGGTTGGGCCTTGGAAATTTTTTAAATTATATCTAAACTTATCAATTTTATATTGAATTTTTTATGTAAAATAAAAATATTCGATTTTATTTATAGAAACTAGATGCCATATAACATATGTCTTTTATTTTGAGTAATTATAAAAATTAATTTCTATATTTAAATAAATTCGGGCCGGGTAGGGCCGGTAAATTTTTCAAAAAAAATTCGGGTTCGTGCCGGGCCTACAAAACTTTTTTTTAAATTTCGGGCCGGGCCGGGTTTGAAAAATTAGGCCCGATGCAGATCACTAATTTGAAGCAAGATAAAATATTACAACTTGATAATAGATATGCTTCTTTTTTAGAAATAATATCTAATGGGCTCCTATAATTAGAAGATAATTTTTCATAACGATTTGCTTAGATAATAGTATTTATTTAAAGAAAAAGTTTTATTATTAACGTGCACCACTTAAAATAAAAAAATAACAAAAAAAAATATGTATTGTACCTTTATAATATAGTAAAGGAGGAAATAAATAATGGGAAAGAAAAATATTGCATAATTATAATATGTTGTGTCCTTACTTGTAATATAATTAAAGGGAAGGGGAAATAATGTACCTTTATCTTACTATATATTTTTTGAATACAATAACAAAAAAATATATTAAAGAGGTAAAAATGGGAATAAATGTATCTTTTTAATATTGTTGTTTCCTACTTTTGGGAAAACAATAAATTTGTAATAAAATTATTTATTTTATTTCTATAAATAAAAGAAAATATTCAAAAGGGGGAAAAATGGGAATAAATGTATCTTTTTAATATTGTTGTTTCCTACTTTTACGAAAACAATCAATAAATTTGTTTGTAGTACAATTATTATTTTTATTTTTGAATACAATAACAAGGGGAAAAATGGGAAAAATGCATTTTAATAATATTGTTGTTTCCTACTTTTGAAAACCAATCAATAAATACATTCAAAAGGGGAAATATGGGAAGGGGAATTAATTTATTTTTACAAATTGAGGTTTCCTTCTTTTGGAACACAATCATAAAAATTGGGGAAAGTAGGGGATAAAATATAATGACAAGAATTTATAATTTGTATTACTGGGGTATGTATGAAATCGATGTTATCATGGAAAATTGAGAAGTTTATGTATGTGTTGTCTAAAATATTATTCAATTTCGAGGATGAACAAACGGAATTTTTTTTTTATTATATCGAGTCTGTCATCAATCTTACTTTAAACAAGCGTCTCTTCGTTCAGTCCCATACCAGGCGCGCGAAGGTCACTCCAGGCTTCTTCCCCACCAGCTTCCAATAAGCTGGTGCCCCTATTCTCCACCATTATGTAAGTGGGGTGGTCTTGAATTGGTCAATAAAGTCTTGGAATCTGTAGTTGATAACGGTCTTTAGATACAGAAACGATGATATTAGTATTTATTTAAAGAAAAGGTTTTATTATATATTACATGTTACCAACATGTAACATGAATATTTTAGATATATCGTGAGAGCAATCAGAAAGCCTGCATCCTTAATGCTTATACTTGTATTTTTATCGCCTTGGGCCCATTCCTCACTTGTATTAGATATATTCTATATTTTTATGTTAAAATTAATATTGATTTTTTAAAATAAATATAAATTAATTTAAGCAAAAATTTTATATTCTATTATTTTGTTATAATATACATTCATATGAAAAGGACGGTTCCTCGGCCTGGGAATACAAAACCAAAACCAAGCACGTTCTGCAAACTCTGGAAGCTGGCAGTACCCCTGAAATTTTATCAAGGACGATTACCAGAATCGACATACACCAGGAAGACGGATTGAATACTAAATTGACCACCGATAGCTCCAATCTACCCAACAAAGATGTTATAAGGTTGTCCGATTTCCAATTCGTGGCCGTGCTGGGAAAAGGTAGCTTCGGCAAGGTTTTGATTTCATTATTTATTGCTTAGAATAAGAAGAAATAATCTAATTTATTTTTTAACCTGATAACTAATATTTAAGTGATTTTTTAACCATTACTATACGTATAATTAAAAATTTACTAATATGGACAAAATTTATAAACGTTTCTTATATCAAACTTTTAAAAAATATATTATTTTGTATAATAACATTATATTGGTATTAACAAATTCGCTTTCTTATAACAAAACTGTAAATATTTTTTTTAGACTCTAATAATGATAACAAAAAAATACATTAATACTATGATTATTTATTTTTATAAAGTATATAATTAGACCTTTTAATTTAAATCGACAATTTTATTTTATTATATAAAACAAATTGCTTCTGTAATGATAGAACCAAATTTAAATAAAAATTCTTTTACTTTCATTTGCGGAAAAAAAGTAGAATACTTTATTAACTCCAAAATTTCTTTTGAATGTAAATAAAAGAAAGCCCCCATTGAATGACCGATATTGGATAAACTAAGATGATTTATGTTTAATATTTTTTCAACACAAATTACCTTTTTGCCCTTGTTAGAAGAACATGGCATAAAATAATGAATCGATATTAATTGAGAAAAATACTATGAAAATTAATAACAATTTTTTCTTTTTAATGCGAATATTTTTATTTACTATTTTTAACAAAGGTTTTATTGGGTGAAAGAAAGGGAGTTCCGGACGAACTATACGCTGTCAAGGTTCTCAAGAAGGACGTAGTTATACAGGACGACGATGTGGAGTGCACCATGATCGAGAAGAGAGTTCTGGCCTTGCCGGAAAAGCCTCACTGTTTGGTCAAGTTACATTCTTGCTTTCAAACCATGGTAAATTATTAGGAAATAAAAATAGTAAAAGAAGGTGTAAAAGTAGGAAAGAATGAGTGTAAAAGAAGTAGTTAGATTAATTTGTACGAAAAGCATTTATGATTTTGAAAAAAAGAAACTTATCTTAAATATTGATTTTAGGATCGTTTGTATTTTGTTATGGAATACGTTAATGGAGGTGACCTTATGTTTCAGATACAACAAGTCGGAAAATTCAAAGAACCAGTCACCGTGTAATTTATTTTTCAAAATATTTTTATCATTGATCTTTATTTTTTTGAAGACCTATATAATATTTTCAAGCTAGAGTCTCACTATCTAATTCCTTTCTAATTTAAGTTTTGCGGGAAAATAATTCTTTATATTTTTTATATTCAAACTGATGATAAAGTTTGACATCGCATCCATTACATTGTCATCCAATATTAACAAGGATGCTATGACCCATTTAAAAATTGTCAAATATTCAGCAGACTCATCATGTTACATTTTCATGCCAATAATCAGCTCTACACTAACAATGTATGATTTGACGAAGAAGTTCTTCAAAAGCATTGGTCATAAAATCAGTAAAAATTCGAGGGAGTCACATAATCTTTTATTTAAGACAAATAAATAGCTATTCTTAACGCAAATTATGTTTGTTTTATTAGCTCAATTGTCCCAGATGATTAGAACTAACCCTCCCATTTTTCTTTTTTTTTTAATTTCTAAAAAAAATTTTTTAAAACTCATTAATCAATTTTTTATTATATTTGTTTAAATTAGGATTTCATATTGTTTATTAATAATATTGTTTGACCTATTAACTCTTTCTATTATATAATTTTTTTTATACTTCATTGCACCTATGAGGTCTTACAATGAGGGTGACAATATATTCGTAACTTATATATAGATTAATATTGATATATTGTTTATAATTATGATAATAAACTATTTTAGGGAATATTGATACTTATTATTAATACAAACAATTATAAATATTTTAAACCTAGGTTTTATATGGCCGAAATAGCTATTGGTCTGTTTTACTTGCACAACACGGGGATCATATTCAGGTTAATTTTTTATTTTATATTATCAAATTTTAAGGAAATTATTTTTCCAAGAATATCCTTATATTTCAAGCTTAACGATTAATCGTTTTCGATCACTCTTTACATTCTAATAGAATTCAGTTCTAATAATTGTCATTTGATAGGTGTTGCCTCATATAATCTAAATTATTAAATCATATTGCTCCTTTTTAATCAAAGCTGATTCCCTCATTTTAAGGTCGAATTTAGTTTTTTTTATTTGATTCTTAAATGAAATTTTTTTTTTTACTGTAGGGACTTGAAATTAGATAATATATTGTTAGATAGCGACGGCCACGTAAAGATATCCGATTTCGGGATGTGCAAGGAAAACATATTCGGCAAAATGACTACTAAAACATTTTGCGGAACTCCTGATTATATCGCCCCCGAGGTAAAAGACTGAATAAATGTAACATTTTCTAAGAAAAGAAAGACAAGACGTTGATAAATATTTTTAAGAAAATCGAAAAGAAGGATGAAATTAAAAAAATGTAAAAATAGAAGAAAAAAAAATCGCTTGAAAAAAAGAATAAGGAATAAATTTTTAAAAGGTAAATTACCCAAAACGTCATCCCTTATAAAATGCAAGTTTCTCTTTAAAATATTTTCGTTGTGATATAGATAATACTTTATCAGCCTTACGGTAAATCTGTCGATTGGTGGGCGTTTGGGGTTCTCATGTATGAAATGTTAGCTGGACAAGTAATTGTTTTTTAAACTATAATATCACTTGATTCTATTTTCTAAAAGAAGCCAGAGCTTACTAATGGACATGGTTTTCTTGATATTTTAATTTTTACCATTTAACGAGCATTCTTAATTTATTTATTAGCAACTTTTTAAGTAATCAGCTTGTTTAATTTTTTAAAATAATACAAAATTAGTATTTTAAAGACTATTTTAGACTATAAAATTTATTCATATGAATATTTTAAAGAAATTATTATATCAAATTAATTTTTATTTTTCATTTAGCCGCCGTTTGACGGAGAAGATGAAGAGGAATTGTTCGTTGCCATAACTGATCAAAGCGTCTCATATCCCAAATCTATGTCAAAAGAAGCCGTTTCTATGTGTAAAGGGGTACATTAATTCCTTTTTAAAGGCTATTTAACAAAACCCCAGATAATGTGAGGTCAAAGTATAATAATCTCTTTTTATATTTGATGACTATTGGCCTGAACTTAATAAAATATTCTTATAATATTTTTTATTTTTATACGATTACTTGATAGATTTTTTTTTAAAATACATATTAAATAATTTTTGGGCTTGCTTAGCATTTATACCATTAATTTTTCAGTACAGATTATTACTAATTGGATCAACGTAAGATTTATTTAAGTAAGAAAAATTACATTTATCAAAATTATATTGATATTTTAGAATAGTCCTTTTACTATACCAAAATTTTGTTTTTGTTTAGTTTTTAACGAAAAACCCCGTCAAAAGGCTTGGATGTGAAGAGGACGGTGAGCGAAAGGTCAGGGAACACCCCTTTTTCCGGAGGATAGATTGGATGCAAATCGAAAACCGCGAGGTTCAACCTCCCTTTAGACCAAAAATTGTGAGGAGCTAAAAAATATAAAAATTGCTTTAAATCTATTTTAAATCTTATACCAATCAAGTAAACTCGTTATCAAAATTTATTTATTATAACATAAGGTCTTATAGACAATAAAATTTAAACAATAGCCAACCCCTTATTCGATGTAATTTTTTTTACCTTCGAGCCAATAATAACGGTTTCTACCGGATTTAATTCTATCCACTAATCACCTATAGTTATTTCAAATAAACTTTCCCATTTTTATTTTTTTAGCCATCTATATATCCTAGTGTTCTTAAACGGCTCGTTTTGAGCCGATTTTTAAAAACGGCTAACTCAATATTTAATCCAGAAAAATATTACGCGAGCCTGAAGATTTTGCTCATAGAAGGAACAAAGATCTAGACATATATTATCAAAATCTGAGGCTTAGACAAGATTTTTCTGGCTAAAATTTTGAGTTAGCCGTTTTTAAAAATCGGCTCAAGACCAGCCGTTTAACATCACTAATATATCCTAAGTAAATTAATAAAACTTTTAACGGTAAAATAAAAATATAAATAAAGCGTCACTCCAAAGATATAAGCAATTTTGATCCCGATTTTACCAAAGAAGAACCTAAATTGACTCCCACCGATAAATTATTCATCATGAATTTGGACCAAACAGAGTTCGCTGGATTCACTTATCTTAACCCCGAATTTGTGCAGCACGTTTAAAATAAATTATACTCGCACATTTTTTTAGAAAAAAAATGTTTTATAAAATTTCCAACTAACTTCTTACCTTTGCAAATTCATCAATTTTTGATGTAGTCAATATGGTACGATGCGGTTTATTATTTACTTGTAAATAAATTTTTAGAATGTTTATAAAAAAAACTATTATTTAAATATAAAAATTCTAGCAAATTATGTGTAAATGTGAAAATCCGCCAGACTTCCCATGCAGATTAAATTTTCATATTTTAATTTCCTCGTTCTCTCTTCCTTTTGTATTTTATTTGACAAATACGTCTAAATAATGTACATTAATGATCAATAAAAATTTTATTAATTTTTTAGAATGAAATCATAATTGAAAAATATAATTGATTCGAATATATTTCGGATTTGAGCTAAATCGTCTTCCTTTAAAAATCTATATTTTTTTATTTTACACCCCCTCCTCCCCTCACATCCCCAAACTTTATTATTAATATGAGCAATAATAAAATTTCAAAATTTGTTCATTTTGAAGAATTTCCAAGAATTATATGTTATTATGGCATTTTCTTAATAAACTTTTCATAATTTTATATTATTTTAAATGACACTAATAACTTTAAAAAAAATACTCTGATTCTTAAAAAGAAAACTAATTTGGTTAAAATTTCTATAAATTATAATAGATATGAAAAAAAATATCATTTTGGAATTATATATAATTATATCATCATAATCTTATTTTCCTATGATTGTCGCATTCTATAGCTTTTTTTGTAAACAGAAATCATTAAAACATATTTTTTTAAATAAAATGCGCCTATTTTTATGCGCTATTTAACTTTATGATTAATGCCCCTTGTGATCAAGCACATGAGTAAAAAAAAATCTTGAAGGTTTGAAAGTTAAATTTTTTCCCCCTTTGTAACATTTCCCTTGCTTATTTCCACTTGTAATTAATAAAAAATAACTTGTAATGTATAATATATTTCCCTACGTTGCTTTGTTATTTATATGATTTTAGCATTTCCCCCCTTAAAATTTATTATATCAAAGATATATATTTATAACTAAAATTTATTGTATTTATTTTAAATCAAGTATAAAATATCGATAATAATAAAATTATATAAAAAATTAACTATATATATTTACGACGATGATTAAATATTCAATATGTCATTCGAATTTAATATTTCTATTTAGTAGAATAAAACGAATAATTTTATTGATTAAAAATATATGTTAATTTATTTTATTATACAATGAAGCAATGCAAGAATATTTATGAATTTTTGTTTTTAAAGCAACTTAAATTGCAGATCTTCATAAAATATTGATAAAATTTAATGATTATATATGATAATGGAATATGGAATTCGTCTCAATTTTAAATAATTACTGAGGGCATTTTTTAAATTTATGAAATATGACCTGAGCGGAAATGTATTGCAGCATGTATCAAGTATCCACACTCAATTTCAGTCAATTTTGCTTCGAAGTCTTGAACTACTCTCCTATAAATTAAGTTTTTATTTTTATATACCAAACAGAAAAAAATAGTTTGTTTTATGATAATTTGAAAGATTAAAGTTTTGATATGTCTAGCCTCTTATTTTAAAAAAATTTGATTTATTTTTGTATTAAAAATATCGTAAATGAATGTGCTAGAATATAGGTTTAAAAAATGAGCATATGTTTCCTGACAAAAAAACCAATTTTAATAAATCTAATTTTTTAAATGCTTAGAAAGGGAGATTTTATTAAAAAATATATTAACTTGTCCTACATATCAGTTATATTTTACCAAATTTTTTGGGGTGTGTCTAATAGCATTAGTATTTATAATAATCTATCTTTATGCTTAAACTTTAGGCCTATCCACCGCATTTAGCCAACATTTGCCCAATACTCCACTTATCTGGATAGGTTTTTATAAAACGTTATATAAAAACAGGGGTCCATAAAGTGTGCCCCGTCATTATCGATTTTTACTGATGTATCTATTGGATAGATATGTACCCGATTTGTTGTAATATTTTCAGTTTGATTTACCATCACCGGTTTTTAGATGTTAGCCATTTAAATTTTCACGTTAAAATTACAATATCCTTAAAATAGGTTTTTCTTAAAGTTAAAACAAATTTAAAAACGCCCTTAGAAAGGAAAGAAGGTTCCCCATCTCTTTCTATTAAAAACTTATTTTATAGGAATTTTTATTTTTAGCGCTATATTTTTAAGGGTCAATATCTAGAAAACGATAATGGTACAAATCAAGTTTAGGTAAAGATCGGGTAAAGTCGATCTAGTTCTTAAAATTTAAAAGTGTGAAAATTACCAAAGGGTGGGGCTAACTTAACGCGATATTTTAAAATTAAAGTTGGATTTTAGAAAAAACTAACGATGATAAAAAAATTTTTACAGCATCATTAGGAAGGAAAAAGGTTAGCTTGCTATTTGAAATTTTTTTTTTAAAGATTATATTTTTTGGCGATATATTTTTACTATCAATATTTGGAAAATGGTAATGGTACTTATACACTCATCGATTTATAATCGAATAATTTTCAATGTGTATCAATCATATATGTTGGTGAAAGAGTGGTACAAAATTATATATTTTTTAGATAAAATAAAGGTTATAATCAAGCTTTCTATTCCAATACTCTGTAAGCTTTTATATTATTAAAATAACCTTAGATTTTTGATAAATGTGAGGGGGGGGGGATAAGAAATTTCCCTTAAAGAAATAAAGTAATGGTAAAAACGAAAAGAGATCAACATTATGAAACACGAGGGTATTAATAATAGTTTAATTGAATGTTATTATAAAGGAAACGACATCTCGGCCTTGTATATAAGTCCAATGGAATTGATATCTAAAGAGCTAGAAATAAATTCTTGTGAGAAGAAATAATGGATGGAAATTCTCTTAGGTAGCTAAGTTTGATTAAATTACGAGAAAAAAACTAATATAGTTCATGTTCTAACGATTGTTATTTTATAACAGACATCCACCTGTTAAATTTGTCAATTTGATTTTAGTTGAGTTGCAGATATTCGTTTTAATCATGCCATATGATCATCTTATTCAAAATTTTTATGACTACGTGATTTCGTCGACCCTATTTTTTTTGATCAATATTTATATTTATTTATAAAATATGCAAAATATCAAATATTATTATGATTTATTATCTCCAGCTTGCAGAAGTATTATGCTGCTTCTAAAAGCTGAAAATATTCTATTTAAAGGTGTCTCAATATCAAATAAAGGTATGCAATTATAAGATTTAAAAATGACAATATTCTTTAATATTAGATTATCTTATCAATGATTACAAACATTTAAACCCATTGAAAACTTTACCATTTATTATTGATAACAATTTTAAACTAACTGAATGGTATGATTTATATTTATATTATTTTAATTTGTATAAATATAAAGTTCTGCAATACTTAAGTATCTATTTTGCAAATATCAATTACCAAATCATTGGTACCCACAAGAGTTTAAAAAACAATCAAAAATAGATGAATATATATCTTGGCACAATTATAATACTGGTTTGCATTGTCAAATGTATTATGATCATAAAGTATTATATCATATATTTTTCAATTTTATAGAATTATATTATTAGGTTAGTTTTCAACCTGTAGATTATCATGCCTTAAACAAATGGAAAAATTTGACTGAAAACACATTAGATCAACTTGAATATTATTGGCTACCCATGTTAAATAACATTAATAGCAAAGACCTTAAAGACCCAGAAAATGTTCATGGTATTTCAGAAAATTGTTACACAAATAACATGGGAATTGAAATAAATTTGGCCCATTTATTGATATCTTGCTCTCTCATGCAACCATATGTGGCAGGATGGGATGTGGTTACTCAGGATCGACCTATTCTTGTCCAATTTTTTGCTAACCTTAAGCAGCAATTAGCAAAAATTAGAAATCAATCTACCAATCTAGATGTACCATTTAAAGAAAATAATAAGTATGAAGTTGAGACCACCAATCAAGAGCGAGATGATATATTTTACAGTGTCCATAAAGAAGCACTTGATTTGAGGAATGTTTTATATCAACAAGGAAAAATAGTTTTGGGGTGTTAAATAAACACCTAAAAACTACAAGCTTGTATATATATACTATACATTAATTTTAATTCCTAGTTCAAGTCATTCTTATTAATTATGTAATATTTGTTAACAGTACAAAAACTCATATAAAAATTTTAAATTAATATTGAATAATTATGACAAAGTTGCAATTATATAAAGCTTTAAACATTTATAGCATATTTTTATTAATCATAATATATAAGTATAATATAAAATTCAACATATCGAATTATGCATTTTCTATTTCAAAACTATATACTTTATAATATGCCATTGATCGATTAAAAATATAAAGGTCAGTTTTGGTGATTAAATTAGGTTCATGTCTTAGTTAGTGGCTAATACAGATCCTAGTAAGTTTCAGAGATATGCAAGTTTAATCAGCTGATTTTAAGATATTTTTTAGGACCAGTCCAAATTTTTTATTTATTTATGACCTGAGTATGACCTGACCAAAATTTATTACATGTATAAATTAACTAAAAATTATAAATTGCTTTGTCCTAAACCTAGAAAATCTAATTATCGGTTTATCTTGATAAAAGAGACAAAATCAAGATTCATTTTTTTAGGCCCAAACTTGGCCCATTTTATTTGTATGGCCTAAATTTTTATTTTTATTGGGCCAACAAAATTTTATAAAAATTTGTTGTTTTTTATATAGGTTTTCTTTTTGTCAATATAAATTTTTTTGTCCTCCCTCCTCTTCCCTTAGTTAAAAAATGTAATGACGCACTAGTTAATAATAAGTCCAAATATTAGATATTTATTAGTTAACCAATCGCGAGTTTATTCCTGCCTGGTACTTCAATATTAGTCAATAATTTTGGCGATTATTAAATACTTTTGACCTTGAAATTTATATATTAATTTTTTTGTGATTAAAAAAAAGCAATAATCTTATTTTGTAAAACCGAATCAAATACTTATATTTATTTTACAGAAATTCCTATATTAATATATTTTTTAATTAATGGACTCTTCATTTTTTTTCTTGAGTTTTTTTTAAAGAATATTGTTATTATATCTAACCTTGAATATTATATATTATATTCGACTTTTATTTATAATACTAAATAAAATAGAAAATAATATTCCTTTTCTCTATAAATATATAGTGAAGCTATTTTTAATATTACACTTTTGAAATTAAAGCGAAATTTCATTTATTAACTTTTACTTACAAAATGTTAAAACTTATATTTGTATTATTTCGTGATCTAATTTATTACGTTACAAATAATAAAACAAATACAATTTTTTTTATAATAACTATTTTATATAACCTTAAGAGTCAAGCTTTAATCCAATTTAGCTTCAAATATGATTTTTATATAATTCACATTAAAGAAATTTAAAAATAGTTTTCATATCTTAAATATTTTGTAATTCAAAAGATATAATATTTTGGGAGAGCTGCCAAAAAAGAAAAGGGTGACTTGTAGAAACTAAAAACGACTAATAAGCTAGAGTCCTGCAGAGTCGGCTCGAGTAGGTAATGATAACATCAATATATAGACCAAAAAAACATTAATATCATTCCTATTCTTAATTTTTTATCCGCTTGATTTAGAGGTGTGCAATGATCGGGTTTTTAGCCTGCCCATGGGTTAGAATTTTAAACATTGGGCTGGTGGGTTAAAAATATTTTTAAAACAAATAGCGTGCGGGCTAGTGAATTTAAAATATGTTTCGAGCAAAGAATAGGCTTATATTTTTGTTATAGATTTAAGTAAAAATACATATATTAAAATAAATAAGGAGTCCAAACCAACTAATAATATAATTTTTAAACATCGATACAGCGGTTTAAACCAATTTTTTGGATAAATTGTTTTTTTTAACAATAGGCTAGCGTTCGGTTAAAAACTCACTCATTGAAGACCTCTAGATTGAATATCACTAGAATTTAAAAAAATGAGAAAATTTGAAAACAATATCAGAAGGTGGGAAATATTAACTATTTAAATTGTTTTTTTTAACAATAGGCTAGCAATAAATATTTTAGGTTTGAAATATATATTTTATTTTAACGTTAAGGGTCCGGGCCTAGATCTAAATAAATTTTCCACATAACTGCGGGCGTGCTTTGTCTTTTGAAAAATTGATTTCTAATATAAGCCATCAATAAGTAAAAAAAACAATAATAGATGAATACTTATGATTATAAACCCTACGCCATGTAGAATCTTGGGCAAGTCTAACTTATATTGCGAAAATATGCTCACCAGAAACTACGGTTGGGATTGTTAGAAAAATTATTGGGACAATTCAATGACATTTGGAAAGGCTTCCAGATAACCTATTAAAAATCATAAAAATTGTAGTATGTTTGTAGTATGAATAATACGTTAATTTAGGATATCAGTATGGTCAGTAGATATAAGTAACCAATTAATGTTATTTTCATTGAATCTTGTCCCGTAAACCAAACAAGTAATTACACTGAACCAGTAAAGTTTTAGATGTCCTTAAATTGGTAGTCTAGCATGACCGAACACCAAGTCGCCTTCCCCCCAATAATTCTTTCAGATAAAGTTGACCTTGATTTTAAATATTTCAATCAGCTGACAGAAATATTCTTTCCAATCTCGGCCAAAAATCTAAGTTGTTTTGTCTTAATGCTATTAAATTCAAGTAGTTATAATAATTATATAAAATTTTTATTCTTTTTTGGATACCTAGTGCTGATGAATCGTTACGCCTCGTGAGAAAGCCCTAAGTGGTTGAAGCAAAGAACTCAACTTTCAAAGATGATAAAAGGCGCCTTGAGGCTGAGGCGAAAAATAGGCATCCCACGCTTGGTTTGGCAATATCCTGAAAATACAAATACTTTTTTTAAATTTATTTTCGAAAGTAGTATTTATATTTTAAATACTAAAAAATAAAAAGTATTTTATATTTATTACGATTTCAGGCGAATATAAATACTTTTTTTTATAGGTAAAATTTTAAATCGTAATCTACAATTGTTGGCGAAAAAATTCTTATCTTATCCGCGTTTAATTCCATTTTATTTTATGTTTATTTACGAATGTGAAATTGAAGATATAAATTGAAAATCAGGCAAATTTCAATAAAAATGTATCCGTATATAAATACACTCCAAAAATGGTATTGATATAAATAGTAATACGTCTTAAAAAGTGCTTCCTAAATATAAATACTAAATGCCTATTAAAATATTTTCAATAGTAGGGCCACTAAGGTGGGGGACGGTCGAGCACCCTGAAAATTAAAAAAAGATTTTATACCTTCTTAGCTTAAAAAAGGTTACTTTAGAAATGTTAGTTTTAAAAAAAGGTCATTTTAAAAAGAATCTTAAGCGCCGTAAAATTGACGAAAACATTTTGCACAAATAAATACCTTTTGTACCACACTAACAATTTTTTTTTACTTGATACTTTTATTACATTTTAAAAATTATCAAATATTTGCAAATAAATGAACATTATAAATTTATTATTGCAGCAGTAGTATCACATAAATTATGTAATAATTGCAAATATAATTAATATTAGAGATCTATATAGGGCCTAATGCCGAAATTTTTTTGTCATAGTCCGGAACCAAAATTAAGTTCACCTAATATCAAAATAAATTCTGACTCCGTGGAAGGGGGGGGGCTGGCAGATCTTTAATTAGTATCAAGGTCTTGCATAGCATGTAATAAATTGCTGGAGGATAAATTTTATGATTTTGATTTTAAAGTTGAGCAAATATTACATTTAGCTTTCACTATATTATTAATTTTTGAAAAACAATCCATCCATAATTGTTAAATTAGATTTAGAGTATTTTGAAGTTGTCACCGAATCCCTCCAGAGATATCTTATAAACATAATTTAATCATTTTCAGAAAAAAAAGATATTAATTGATAAAATTTATGATTTTTTTTATCTATATAAGTGAACGCTTAAGAATGTAACTTTGACTTTTTTAAAATTAATTTGTATTTAAATTTGATTATATGTTACAAAAATTATCAAATATATAAATTAATTCAAAGTTATAAAACTAACAACGTCCATATCCTCTTACATTTAACAATTTTTGGTAGAAGCTGTAAGAGGACCTTTTTAGCAACGTTCTTACATCCTTATTTTAAAAATAGATGGATAACATGTAGTGATGTTAACTCAAAAAGAAAACGATATTGATATATATTATCAAATAATAATACATTTATTTAACAATTATAAATATATGTCAATCAATTTATAGTTGATAATTAGAAAAATAATATAGATATTGATTGTTTATTACATATTTATTGATATTGATAAATATCGCGGATGGATAAAAAAAAATTGTAGTTCTTTGTTTGATAATTAAGAATTAGTTTTTACTTTAAAAAAAAAAACTTAGTACTTGATATACTTTTCGACGGAATATATTTGAATAAAAACGATTACAAAAAAGAGTTGTAATTTTGAATTAAAGTTATACTTATTTTAATGGTACCGACCGACCAGGATCAGTGAACACTTATTAGGAAAAAATAAGAAAATTTAAAAAAAAAAAAATAGTGAATATTATTGTTAAGAGAATTTTAGATATTATAAAGGAAGAACAATTTCTAGGACCGGGTTCCTCAAAATAATAGTAATTCCGGATATATATAAAGGTAAAAAAAATTTTTTTTTTGTATTATAAATTATACACAACGCAATTTGAAAAGTTTTTTTTTTTAAATTTAATTTTAAGGATTTTAAAATTTTTTTATTTGTAATATAGATTTATGAAATCATGGTTTATCCTTTTATTACTGTGTATAGGAAGCCTGATTTTAATAAAATTTCGATTTTTAAGAATAATTTTAATAAAATTTTTGATAAGAAATTTAATGAATTGGATGTGACCAATAGTGCGGTTACAGCTTTCATTTTTTTATATTGTATATATTATTAATTGGTTTCAGACAATTAATTAATAAAATTCAGAGAAGATCAGTGAATAATAAAATAATTAAATTAGGTGATCTAAATAGTAATAAATCTTTAGATATTTCTGAGGATATCAAAAATAGTTTACATTTAATATTATTAGAATTAAAAAATTTAAATGGTAAAAAAATTGTTATACCGGAAGAACCATCAGAGAAAATATTATACGGGTGAAGTATTTAATTTTCCTCAAAATATTGACATATCGGAGGATATAAATAAAAATTAAATTCAATTGTGATAGAATTTAAAAAGCAAATATATGAGGTTTTAATCGAGAAACCAGTAGAAATTTTGAAAAATAATAAAACAAATAATACTTTGAGACAAAGTACCGAGGAATCTCGAATTTTAAGTGAAATTAGAGAAATGAGAGAAAATATGAAAAATTTGTCCAGAGAAGTTTTCCAACTTAAAAATCAAAAGTAATAATGTGATTGAAAGTTGTGAACTTTGTGGAAGAAAAGGACATATCGGTAAAAATTGTTATTCAAGAGACCGAAAAACTAATGAGAATGTGACTGCAAAACCAAGTGGAAAATATGATATAGTGTGTCATAGATGTGGTTTTGTAGGACTATAAAAAGAAATTGCATGGTGAAAGAAGCCAATTTCAAAAGTGGATTTCCGCAACGAACATCGGTAGTGATAAATCCAGTGGTTCGAAATATACAAAATCCTAGTATTACAAATATGGATAAAACAGAAATATACAATACAGACCATGATAGAATGTGTTTCAGATGTGAAAAAATGGGACACATTGCAATACATTGTATTCAAAGTGTGAGTGGGTCACAGTGACTATATGATTTGAAAGAGAGTCATATAAAAATAGATAAATTATATTTAGAGAATATAAAATTTTGTGATATATATAGTTTTATTAAAAATTTTGTGGATATATATAATAAAATAGATAATCATTATGGGAATGATGATTATACATTGAAATTTAACTCGAATAAAAAGAGTTGTAATGTGGGAAATT